TGGTCCGTAAAGTCCGTATTTTTAAATACTTTCACTGGTTTGAGTCCTGAAATCCGTTTAATATTAATTGCGAAACTCTCTAAATTTGATTAGAAATAATTATATAGAATTACGAATAATGACGAACATTTTGAGATTCAATATGGAGAGTCACCGCTTGGCGGCAGTTCAGATGATAAAATCAGATTTCACGCCATCTGGTGATGACCTTCGGCATTCTCAAGTGAAGAAATTAAACCATCCGTTATTTTATCCCTCAAAAACTATTTTATAATTGAAAAAATTTGGAAATAATCTCAAAAATAATTTCAATTGTGTTTTTAGTGCACAAATAACGCTCTTTATTCAAACAAAATACGCTCGTTATTTGTAGTGAATAAACAATTTGCGACTATTTGCAACTATTGCGAACATATTATGATACTTTTGATACTTTTTTTTTAATTCTAAATTCAATCCGAGGCCTAAATATAATATAATATAATAATTATAGCAATAATATAAAATATTATTATTATTATTTTTATTTTTATTGCTACTATTATACAATTATTTTCTTTATTTTTTTTCATCATGGGGGAGAAGAGACAAATGCTTTTGACGCATTATTGTTATTGTTTTTAGAATTTTTATAAGTATTGTTGTAATTTTTTTGTATACTGCAAGGGTAGTTACATAACCTTTACAAATGAATAACTTCAATTGTAAAGAATTGTAAAAACATTAAAACCTTTTATGGAGTATATTATTATTATTATTATTATTATTATTATTATTATTATTATTATTATTATTATTATTATTATTATTATTATTATTATCGATAAAGTCATTAATATTATTATTATTATTGTTAATATTAGTATTATTATTAATAATTATTAGTATTATTGTTATTATTAATATATTACTAACATGGATTTTGTTTATTTATTGATTTATTTCCTACTGTGATTATTGTTGTATTATATGAGTATTATTTTTTGTGTACTATATTCTTCTGTTCCACATTTATTTGCTGACATGTCATACATGACAGTGCATTAAAATGTATTGTGCTATTCGGAATGATGTAGTATTCAACAAGTATTTTTTTTCATTTTTTGATCCACTTTATACACACTTGTCCTTATAAACTTCATTTCCTCATTCAAGGACAGTGTCAACATCCCTTGTCGTTCATTCTTATGGATTCTTTTATACATTTTAGTGCTACTACTCTTCTAGAACGTCATTTCATCTATACAATAATCTATCAAATTATTTTCAAAGTTTACTCTTGCATTTTTACAGTCTATATTATAGATAAAACTGTAAAGTTTAAGAAAAATTTAAAGGAATCGAATAAATTGAATAAGGGGAAGTATTTGTAAAATGATAAAAGTGGGTAAAATGGGAAAATTAAAAAGTAAGTGCGATAAGGGAATATGAAAAATGTTTTATTCGTAAATTTTGAATTTTTATTAGATGAGAAAAGTTATTTTTGGGTATTCAAAGTTACGTGATTTTTAATTTTTTTACATTGAAATTTCGAACATGGTTCGGCTATAATTTTTGGATTTTAAAAGTTGAGACATATGGTTGTTAATTACCTAGTTTTGTATTTTAAACGTTGAAACATGGTTGGTGATTATTTTTGTATTTTAAAAGTTAAAACATGGTTGCTTATTATTTTTATACATTAATTGAAACTTAAAACACGGTTTCGAATTATTTTTATACATTAAAACTTAAGACACGGATAAAAATTATTTTGACATATTTTTAAGTAAACAAACTTGCAATCATTTTTATGTTTTGAAAGTTAAAATCATTCCTTCTCTTTATTTAAACATTGAAATTAAAAATATAGTTTTTTTCCAAAATCTTAAAATTTAAAAATCAATTTTTAAAATATTTAATTTATCTTTTAATTTTAATCTTTGAATTTTAATTCATCTTTTAATGGTAATATTTTTTTATCTCTTTTCATTGTGTTGGGTCCATTTTTTCTCAACTGCCCACATCAATTTTAGTCCTTTTTAAGTAAGCATCCATTTGGAATTTATATTATCGTAGCTTCTTGATCATTTTTCATTCCCTTAGTTATCCATTATTGTCCTGTAAGATTCGCATTCATTTTTTTCTATTAAATTATTCCAAATCATATACTTTTTTTATCATATATTTTTCTTTTTATTTAATCGCATTATATAAGATTTTCTTTACTAGCATTTTTTATTTTCTTTCCTCTCGAATTTTTTTCTAAATAGTTCGTATCGTTTATTTTTAATTTCTATTTAAATAGCAAATTTCGTTTTTTAAACATTTTCATTTATCTTCGTTAAAAATTCAGATTCTTTTTTTCTCTGACGTCAGTTTTTAATTATTACTTTGTACCTTCATTATAATATATAGAATAAAAAAGAGTAAGAAAAAGTCGATTAAAGGTTTGTAATTAAAAATCCTGAAGAATAAATTTGTAAAAAGAATTTAATTTCTTTTTTAAAGTATGTTATTTTCAATTATTTTTAATAAATAAGTGAATAGAATAAAAGAATAAATGTAAATAAATATAAAATTCAACATTTTTTGAAAAATGGAATAAAAATGTACTGTTTATGCTCTAAAGTATGATGTTCATTAAAAAAAGGAAAATCACATAGAAGATGGGTAGCAAATGAAAGAAGAAAAAACACTCTCGGCCATTGATCAAGTTCCGAAGAATAATTACCTCTTTAATAATAAATAATAATGGAAAAAGGAAATTAAAAAAAAACCGGGCGGCGGTTGTCATATCTCGTAACGTCATCGACCTTCGACCTATCGGATAAATTTCTTTTTTCGAAAAAAACAGAAAGCAAAAAAAAAAAATGGAACAGAAAACAAAAGAAAAAGAAGGTATTAAAATTAAAACAAATGGAAATATTTGTTCAAATCTTCTGTTTGTAGTAGAAGAAAGAAAAGAAAATATTTTTCTTGTAACAATGTTTATTTTCAATTTCTATGATTCGAGAATTTTCCCTTTAGAAAAATTGATAAAAATTGTATACGCGACAGTAACAATAGAAAAATATAAACAAAAAAAAAAAGTTGTGCATAAATGCAAACGGAAAATTATAAAAGAAATTATCAAATATCAACTGAAAGAAGAAAATAATTAACAAGAGTGAAAATAAATAGCGAAAAGTGTCAATAAAAGAACAAAGATGACAGAAAATTATACAAAAAAAAATATTCAAGTTAAGTGAAGTTTAAAAATAATTGAAGTTATGAATAAGAAAACAACATATAAGATGGAAAGCAAAAGTGAAGAAAGACAACAAAGTTAAATGATTTCTTCTTTTATTACTTGTTATTTTCTTTATAGAAGAAATAAAGATAGAAATTGAAGAGAAAGAAAGAGAAAAACAAAAAGGAAAAGAATAAAGATTATAGACTATAATTGAATAAATAAATAATTAATTGAGAAGAAAAAAAATCAAAGAAGAAACAAATAAAAAATAAAGAAATGGAAAAATTAAAAAAAGAAGAGGAAAAATAAAGAAGGGGAAAAGAAGGAAACAAATGAAGAAGAGGAAAATTGAAGATAAATATTAAAGAAAAAAAAATTATGAAGGAAAAAAAAAGATTAGAAAAAAGTTACGAATAAAAAAGAAACAAAGAAAAATAAAAAGGAAAAATTAGAAAAGAGAAAAATAACGAAAAAAAGGAGAGGGAAAATTAAAAAATTGACAAAAAATATGGAATTAAAAAAATAAAGGGAAGGAAAAAGGTAAAAAAGAAGATATGAAGAAGAAAAAAAAATTAAAAACAGAAAATATAAGGAACAGATGAAATTAAAAAGAAGAAAAATTAAGGAACGAAGAAATAAAGAAGAAGAAAGAATAAAGAAGAAAAATATTAAAGAGGAAAAATAAAGAAGATTATGAAGTATAGATAAAAAGAAGAATAAAGAAGGGAAATTAGTAAAAAAGAAAAAATAAAGAAGTAAGAAAGAAAAAATAAAGAAGAAAAAAATGTAGAAAAGAGAAAAATAAAGAAGAAAAAAATAAGAACAGAAATAATTATAATAAAGAACAAATGAAATTAAAAAGAAGAAAAATTAAGAAACGAAGAAATAAAGAAGAGATGAAATTAAGAAGAGAACAAATAAAAAAGAAAAATATTAATGAGGTAAAAAAGTAAAGAAGTGAAGAAATAAAAAAAGAAACAAAGAAAATAAAGAAGAAAAAAATTTAAGATACGAAGAAATACAGAAGGGAAAAAAAGAGGAGGCAAAGATTGAATGATGAAAATTTTTAATATGTAAAAGGATGAAGAATATAAAAAAAAGAAGAGGTGAAATTAAGAAGAGAAGAAATAAAGAAGAAAAATTAAAGAAGCGAAGAAATATAAAGATAATAAAAAATAAAGAAACAAAGAAATATAAAAAAGTGAAAAAATTAAAAAAACGAAGAAGTGAAGAGAAATAATTAAGAAATGAAGAAATAAAGAAGAGAAACAGTAAAGAGGTGATGAAAGAAGAGTGAGAAGAAATTAAATAAGCGAAAGAAAAAAAGAAGATAACAAAAATAAAGAAGAGATGAACTTAAGAAGTGAAGATACAAAGAAGCAAAGCAAAATGAAGGAGGAAAAATATAAAGAAGCGGAGAAATAAAGAAAAGGAAAAAAATCATTACCAAGTAAAACCTATAGTGAAAATTCATGACCTGAGAAACATTTTCTATTGACGAAAAATAAAAAATTGTATCCCAAGATTAGTGATGGTGAATGTTTGTTGAAGTATAGAAAAGTAAAGGCTAGAATTTTTCTAAAGGAATAGAAAATTTATTTGTATATTATATTTAAAATAAAATACATAAAATTTTGAAACAAACGAAAAAATTTTATGATACATCATAACGTAATTGTGATAAAAAATATGTTTCCAAACATCTAAAAAAGAAAAAAAAATTGTCAAAAGTTCAAGTCCTCTTCGCCAGGGAAAAGAAAAGCCATTCATTTTCTTTTCTACTCACCGGTCCCAGATTGACGAAACCGTTTCGGGCAGCGACAAAATCGGCTACGTGTCGTTCGGCCGGTTCGCGCATTTTCACCAGGAAGGTATTGGTGAAGACCTCGGCCTTGACGCGATCACATAATGTTACGATAATAATGATAAGAGCAAGTCCAAGGAGCCGAAACGGCCGTTTATGGCCCATCGTTATTGATGGTAATTTAATGTATTTATTTTCATTGATATTAAAATGATGAAAATTGTGCTGATGACGTAAATTATTGATAATATGTCCCGCACAGCTGGCCACTTTTTTGTTGCGACGATTACAGCTGGTTAAGGTGGTAGAAGTGTTTCTTGTTGTTGTTGTTTTACTTGTGGCAGAAGTTTCAGAGGTCAGCAGTAAATTGTTGGTGGTGTTGGTATTATTTGTGATTGTAGTTGTTGTGGTGGTAGTAGTGAGGGCACAATTCGTGAGGGGGGCGCTGCTACTGCTTTGGTTGTTCTTGTTGTATGGGGTTGTTCGCGTGATAGCAGAAAGGACACGTGCATTACCCATGCTCGCCCGAAATCGACTGCGACAATGCCAATCACACTGGTTGGAGCTGCAGTCTTACCAAACGTGAAGATCGAAGGCCTCCCCCCGAGAAAGGAAAGCGAGAGTGAGAGAGAGAGAGGGAGAGCGAAAGAGAGGAGAGGAAGCGAGCGCCAAAGGGCTGTCTTTGCTGAAGCTCACGCGCCCCCCAATGACGGCGCGAAACGATTTTTATCCCGCGTTGCGCACTTGGATCCCCTTCCCTCCCGCTACGTCACTTCCATCTTTTACATACATTGCTGGACAACGTGTTTAACAATGTCTTCTTTTTTTCCCATTTTCCATTTCCTTCAGTTTCATTTTTTCTATTTCCATTTTCTTCATTTCCATTTTTTTTATTTTCCATTTCCTTCATTTTCATTTTTCCATTTTTTTCAATTCCATTTTTTCTATTCTCATTTTTCAATTTTTTCTATTTTCCACTTTTTCCATTTCCTTAATTTCCATTTTTTCTATTTCCTTCATTTTCATTTTTTCCTTTTCTTCATTTCCATTTTTTCCATTACCTTCATTTTCATTTTTCCATTTCCTTCACTTTCATTTTTCTATTTTCTTCATTTTCATTGTCACTATTTTCTTCTTTTCCATTTTCTTTATGGTTCACTTTACCCACTCTTCCCTATTTTTTCTTATTCTCAATTAAATTGGTTTTTTCGTCTTCAGATTACAATTTCGCAAGCAATGATTTTTTTCAATATCGTGGTCAGGAAATTTGATGTAAGGGCTCCTGAGAACTATTCGTACGGCACTGGTTAGTTGAAATGTCATTGGTCCAAAGGATTCTGCACTCGAAGGAACATTGAGGTTAGTATTTTGTGTACCAGATACCACTAATATGTAATTCATTGCTTGCAGGTTGGAGAGGCAATAAGGTTTTTTGAATTTCGTTTGTAATTTATTGAAAGCAAAGAAAGTATTTGCAAAAGCGGACTCTGCACTCATTACTGCTGTGACATTTCACAACAATTATAATTTCGCCCTTCCTGCGAACGAATAAACCACCGTCCGACAAAATTAAACTTTTTTTTGCACCTATGAACGAACCAAGGATTTTCGAAAACTAGAGCTAAAAAAAAGATACCCGTGTCTGTCCGCTTTTTGAGACCAAGTCGTTTACGGTTTTCAGGGGTAAAAACCACCCTTTAATAAAAGGTAACCAATTGTATTGCAAAAAATCTAGAAAAATGGGAAATTTTTATTTAAAAATTGTTTAAAATTATTGGGACTATTAAACATACCCTTACTAATATTTCAGGTCCAACCGTCATGTCAACCCCAAAACTACCCCTATTTTGACTTATTTTAAGAAACTACCAATAAAACTAAACATTTTTGGATTTTTTTAAAAGTTAATCGTTGATTAATTGTAATATCATACTTTACAGCCTACAATTTTCAATTTTTCACTCCAACCTTTATCTCTAACTTACCCCTAAGCTAAATCAATATATTGAATACTGCCCTATAATTTTTGGAATTTTATAAAACTTCGTATTTAAAAATAAATATTATCAAATATTATTAATATTAAATTAAATATTAATTATTATTATTATAATAATTATTATTATTCTTATATTAAATATTATTATTATTATTATTAAATATTATTTTTAAAACTTCGTTTTTGGGGTCGCTAATTACAAATCTGAAGTCAGTTTTTAGAAATCCAAAATGGCGGACAAATTAAAAAAATCATACAATCTTTATAAAATTTAATAACCACGGTAGTTCGGACTTGCAAAATATTAATTTGAAGTTAGTTGTGTGAAATTAAAAATTTTTGACAAATAAAAAAAATTTAGTCTTTTATGAAATTGAAATTTATAATATACCGAAAATTTTATTATTTTATTTTAAAAATCGTTAACGCGTAAATCTTGTGCTGGGGTATTAATTTACCTGAAAATTATATTATGGAAAGAAAACAACCGCGGTTTGGCATTAAAGATCAGCAAATTTATATTCCGCAAGTCCGAAATACCGTGGTTATTAAATTTTATAAAGATTGTATGATTTTTTTAATTTGTCCGCCATTTTGGATTTCTAAAAACTGACTTCAGATTTGTAATTAGCGACCCCAAAAACCCTTAAATACGAAGTTTTATAAAATTCCAAAAATTATAGGGCAGTATTCAATATATTGATTTAGCTTAGGGGTAGGTTTTGAGATAAGGGATGGGGTGAAAAATTGAAAATAGTAGGCTGTAAAATGATACTACAATTAATCAACGATTAATTTTAAAAAAAAATCCAAAATTTTTTAGTTTTATATAGTTTCTAGTTTTATATTTTCGTGATCAAGGAATTTTGTCCAAGGGCTCCCGAGAACGATTCGTACAGCACTGGTTGATTGAAATGCCATTGGTCCACAGCTTTGACAGGATTTCTGCACTGGAAAGAGGTTTGTATTTCGTACCACTAATGTAATTCATTGCAGGTTAGAGAAACAATAAGGTTTTTTGAATTTCGTTTGTAATTTATTGAAATCAAAGAAATTATTCGCAAAAGCGGATTCTGCACTCATCGCCTGTTGTGACATTTCACAACAATTATAATTTCGCCCTATTTTCTTGCGAACGAAAAAACAATTCACGTGCGCGAAATTTCTTTTTCTCTTACTTGGTTTCCTTGGTTTTTTTTGTCTTTTTTTCGCGACAGCATTCGAAAAAATGTGACAATATTTTCCACTCTATTTCCAAATATACAAATTTTTCGTTTACTCTTTTCTTCCCCGTTTTTTCTTTGAACATTAAATTTGCCAATTTTAAGGTTATGTTTGTTTTCTTAAATCTTTCCCAATTTTCTAAAAATTGAGTCCATGGAAGTTTTATTCTAATTTATTTAAATTACATGATATAATCATTTCGATTCGAGGATCTTTGAAAGATATATTTCTCGAAGAATAAAAAACAATCCCCAACTTGGAAAATTATTATAATAAGTAAAAATAAAAAGCTGTCATTTGCAGAAGACAATGGAATATACACACAAAAAAGTATATCTCTATGTAGAAGAAAAATAAATGAATATTGACCTTCCTTCCCACGTACAAAAAAACCTATTCACGTGGAATTTTCTTTTTTTTACACATTTATTTCTCACGTGAAAATTAACGACATAATTTCATACCAAATGGAAAATTACTTCAGTGATTATTATTTTTATACCTCTCTTTGATATATACTAAGAAATTAAACAAAATCACCAAATAAATAAAGTTTGCTCTTTTCTTTTCTCTATAATTTAATACACTCATCCTAAATTTTCTTCTTTTATCCTCTCGTTATTCATTATTTAATGTTCCCCTTTTTTGAAAGTCTAACATTTAAACAATAGAATTTAATTTTTTTTTATTAAATTATTTTATATATAAAGTTTTAAATTTTGATTATATATTGTAAAATAATTACGAATTAATATACGAGTTTAAAAAAATTTGTATATACTTTTATGTACGGTTAATAGACGGAAAATATTTAAATTAATGTTTAAATATTATTATTTAAATCAGCCGGTTTTCTGTGAAATGAACTCTACACGGCAAAAATTACAGGTTATGTTTAGAAAAACTTTTGCTTCTTTAAAAATTTCTTTTTAATCATCTGAAGTGAAAAACAATTTCAATTGACTATTTTCTATACTAAATAGTAAATAAATATTGTTTCTGACTTCAGACAATTAAAAGTGAAAGTTAAATCAAGAAAAATAATTTCTAAACATAACCTAGAAGTTTTTGCCGCGTAAGGTCTCTTTTGCTGAAAAGCGTCAGGTTAGAAAATCGTTTTACATAAATATTTTTTAAAAACTGCCTTTACCCTTTTTATTAGCCAAAAAAATTGAAAATAATTTCAGTAAATTAAAAAAAATGTTTTAAAATTAAAATCTCCCACACTCTTCATATAGATAGATAAATAGAGAAAGAGAGAGAAAGAGCTCAGATAGCAGGGAAAATATTGTCATTTCATTTTTTTTTTTTGCTATTTTCGTTGAGTTTTATTGAATGAAAGATAGAAAATGTGTACATAGGTTTTTTTCATTAGGAGAGGGGATAGAGAATATTGTGAGTGGAAAAGTAGGAGGGAGTGGGTTGGGGGGTATAAAAAACGATAACAGAATTTTCATGCGGGTAGATGAGTCACGTGGTTACGGCGGCGGCGTCGTTATCGTGCGTCGACGCGTGACGTCACACGCCCTATTGATTCGACAGAATGGAATAGGCACCAACGAGTATTGTAATATATAGAGAGAGGCTCATGTACAAAAGGAGAGCGATTGAGCAGATTGCATAAACTTGCCAAGTGTTTTACACGGTCAAATAAATGATAAATGTCCATTGTTTATTATTTTCATTTTCAATTTTGCAAAAACGTGTATTGATTTTCTCTCATTAACAGAAAATCATATTCTCTTTTTCTCTCTTAAATCCAATTATTATAAAGCTATTATATTATAAATACATAAATATCATAAATTATAACTGTGCATAAAAATGTTTATTATTATTATTGTAATTATTACCTATTTATTAATTTTATTATATTTATTATTATAGGAGTCTAGTTTATTAATATCAAAATTAAGGTTCTTTAAAAAAAACGCCCTGTTATTATTAACTATACTATAAATAGAATAATAATATAAAGAAAATATTTTATCAACTGTTATGTTACCTTCTTCCTTTTTTTATAAAAATGCAATTTTTTCAAGTTGATGTTACTTTGAAAATGAGATTGCTACCTGAAAAGAATTTTTATCTTGGGATAGAAAAGAGAAAATTCTTTTCTTTTTTTTTTATAAGAACGTTACTAAAATTAACTCCTTTCTTCCTATCAGTCTTATTTCATGCCTTTGTGAAATTCGTTTTCAATTATTTTCAAAAGAAAGTGGTAAGAAAAAAGAAAAAGTACCTTACATTTTATAAATTAGTATTGCAGGGATAAAGTAAAGAATAAAAAAGAAAGTAGTATAAGAGCACGTTCACTTTGTCCTAAGTAGTGACTGTCAACATATGGTCAGACGTGTATATACTATATATATATATAAGCAAGAGATTGTTTCTTTGATTAGTCTCGTTGTATATAAAATAATTTTTTTTCTCTTCTAGAATTTTTTAACGAAGGATTTATTAGGAATTTAAGGTTAATAATTGTAAATTTAAATTAAATGAATTTAATTAAAGAATAAATAAGTGAAATAAGAATAAATCGGATATGAAATGTAAATATAACTATATAAATATCATTTATTAATTACCTAT